TGAAGAAACAGATTCTTAACTCAAGAGAACACACATATGGCTACCGGGGGGGGGTGGAGGTGTGGGGACAGGTGACATAAGAGATGGGGAGGAAGAGGAGGGAGGAGCAGGGAAGGGTGTGTATTCCAGTGTAAGCAGCCCTCTACCCTGTGGGTGGGCACCCAGGCACTGTGAACCATCCCCTCGCAGGTCTATGTGTGAGGCTCCCAGGCTCCTGCAGAGAACACCCTTCACGGAAGCTAGAATACTTTCTAATGTCAAAAAGAGGAAATAAGCAAAAACCCTCCTCTGCCTTTATCACTGACAGATGCTGAGAATGGACCACGTAAAGTCCAGACCACAGTGCTACAAAAAGCTGCTTTTAAAGTCACATTGATTTTTCTATTAAAATGTCTTTTTTGTTTTTTTTCTTTCCATATTCACAACTTTGCGCATGGAAGCTGCCCAAAGGGCCGGTATCTCTAATTCTATGATTTTCCCCTAATCTCCACATTTACACCAGGTAACTTCTTTAAAATAAAGACCTGCACTCTCCCCATATATTATCTGCTTGCGACAGGTCTAGAATATAATGCAATGGACAAAGCACAGCCCCTGACGTCAGGGGGTCTTACCGCCACCTGAGAATGTCTGCACAGCCAGCCGATGGTGTTCTCCTGTTGAACATACACAACTTCACAGAACATGGACACTGCATGAGGCCACCTCGAGTCTAGGAAAGACCTAGACAAACAGGCCCCATGCACTGTGGCGTCTGAACACAGACATGTGCCCACTGTGCCCAGGCCACAGCAAGGACCAGGCCAAGCGCCCGCCAGCCTCCCCAGACCACTGACTGAGGAGCCAAGGCACCATAGCCCTCCCCACATGGCCTGTGTGATGACAGCATGGGGCTGGTGGTGGGACGGGAGGGCCAGGACAAAACGGGGACCTGGGATTCCCCCCAGGGCGCCCCCGCTTACATCTTGGAGTATTTTCTTCCAGATGCAGCTGAAATTGCTGTGTGGTTCAGCCTTCCAATTCTTCCCACCTCGGGAGTGAATGTGTCTGTGCTGGTTTAGAAACACTGGTGTCACCCTCCCATCCAGGAGACAATCTCCTCAGAGGGAAGGCCTTTGTCTCACGGTATACCCACCACCAGGAACACACGTGGTTCACAGTAGATGCTGTTGGCTAACAGATCCTTTTTCTCAACAATCCTGCCTTTGAGGTGGGGGGCTTCAGGGCCAGTACTGTGAACGGCAAGGGGGTTCTAGCTGATGGTTGTGTCAGGCACTCCTGTGGTGCCGAGCACACCCTTCAAAGGACAACATGTTGTAAACAGTGATCTTCATCATCAGGGTCTGAATCTGTGCGGCCCTGAACACCACATACTTCAGGCCTGGATGTCTGCTCCAGGCTCTGCCTTTAATTAGTGATAACCCAAGAGCAAGAGTGGAAGAATTATCGTGCCATCATAACCACAAGCAACTCTCAAGCATGCTTGTGTGTTTGTGTTTGTACACACATGCTCTAACCAAAGCAAACAAAAGCTCACAAGCACAGTTCCTGGACAGAGCCCAGGGTAGGGGCAGAAATGCAATGTGGGCTTGTCACCAAACCTGCTGGCTACAAAGACAAGACACAACCACAGCATGGTTACTTGTCTGTGGCTCTACGGACGCCATGGGTTGATGACTCATGTCATAGGGCTGTTCTGTGTGCACTGTAGCTGGTTTGCTAGCACTGTCACCCCCCAGCCAGAGCCCCACACAAGTGCCCCAAGACATTGCCTGGGGGTGGGGTGAGGGCTGTTGGCAGTAAGACGGAACTAGGTGGAGAGCACTGCCCTGAAGCCACGCGTCTTCGTGTTTCTGACCAGAAGCCACATGCTGGTAGGGCCAGAGTGCTCCCCTGAGCTTCCAGCCTCCGAGCTGACTCGCACCTGGGTATTGCCTAAGCACCAGAACCTTGGGCAGCATCATCTCCTTACTCCCAGACCCTCATCTACTCAGCAGCCTGAGCAGAGTTTCACCTCTGCTGTCCTTGCCCATCGATTCTACAGTCAGGCCAGTGTCCTGTTAAGGAAAACCAGACCCAGTCTTCACGCCTATGTCCTCTTTACTGCACCCGTGACACGGCCTCAGGTCCAGTGTGCTTCACTTCACAGCCTGGGCTTCACCTTCCTCCAAGCAGTCTTCCTAGACTGCTCTCACTGGGGCCTCAACCCACAAAGCTGGTTGCTCTTGTGCCCCTCCTTTGGGAGGCAGTTGCAGATACTGCTCTATGCAGTTTTAAGTCACGACGGCCCCGAATCTTCCTCTGCCAATTCAGAAAGGGAATGCTACAAACACGTAAGGGTTAAAATTTACTAGTGGAGGGCAGCCCAGGTGGCTCAGCAGTTTAGCGCCGCCTTTAGCCCGGGGCCTGATCCTGGAGACTGGGGATCGAGTCCCGTGTCGGGCTCCCTGCATAGAACCTGCTTCTCCCTCTGCCTGTATCTCTGCCTCTCTCTCTCACTTATTTATAAGTGAATAAAATCTCTAAAAAAAAAAAATTTTACTAGTGGCAACAAATGAAGGTGTGAAGCACCTTGTAAGTGCTTAGGAGTGCAAGATAAGAGAAACTTCTGACATGGCTGGTCTGTGAGCCTCCACTCCTGACAAGCAGCCTGGAGGGAAGAAGGGGACAAAATCCCATGCACATCCACTCCTCTTCCCATCTGGAGAGAAGAAGAATGAAAAGGCATTCCTCAGAGAGGCTCAGACCATCTGGGATTTCAGCAGGATCGAGAGGATCCAGCAGGGTCCACGGGTGGACGGGGCAGGTCCAGGTCACATCAGGCATCCTCCAGGAGAGAACTCGCTCAGGTGTCCTCATAAGGGTGAACTTCAAGCCAGCTCAGCTCCCCTTCCTGTCCCAGGTTATAGGAACTGGGACAAAGAAGCAAACAGGCAGCCCTAGGCTGTAACGTGTGAGGGGCAGAACTGGTGGCCAGCAGGGTGGGAGAGGGCACAGGAGGAAGACGGGGACAACTGTCGGGAGGGAAAGAAGCATGGCAGGGAGAGGGAGGGAGGCAAGGTAGGAAGAACAGAAAAATGAGAGAAACAGGGAAGACGCAGGCTCATCACACAGAAGGCAGCAGAAAAGTAAAAAAACTAAAGCTCGAAGACAAATGATGTAAGACAAAGGGACAGCAGAGACGCTGATTGCGGAGAAGTAAATCCAGAACAGGAGGCAGAGGCGTTCAGACACAACAGAATAGCTTCTCTGGAGCAAGGGGAGGACGGCACCACACGACAACGGCACCCAACACCAGGCTGAGCTCCTCCCCACTAAGAATGCGACACTGCTGCCACTGCTGCCGCCACTGCCAGGAATGCAGAGCGAGGAGCCACGATGGGTCTCACTGCAGGTACTCAGGTTCACAGACAGGCTTTTTCAGAGACCAGCGTAAAAAGCAAGTCACCAACCAAGGGGAAAAGAAAGATCAGACTGGCCTCACCCATCTTTACAGGTTCCATGTCCATAAGCCATTTTGCAGAAACAGACTCATAAACACAGAGAATGAATTGAGGTCATCAGAGGGGACAGTTAGGGGTGGGGGGGTGGCAGCAAAACAGGTCAGGAGGATGCAGAAGTGGATTCCAATTAAAAGATAAATAATTTACAGGGATGAAAGTACAGCATGGGGAATACAGTCAAACAATACTGTAAGAACTTGGTAAGATTATAAAAAGACACATGAGGACCAGAGTCGCTGTGTATACAACGTATGTAATGTACACAACCTGTATAATAATGTATATAAATCTCAAATCTTTGTTATAGGCACCTGTAACTAAAACAACTATAATTCAATTAAAAATAAATAAATAGGGATCCCTGGGTGGCGCAGCAGTTTGGCGCCTGCCTTTGGCTCAGGGCGCGATCCTGGAGACCCAGGACTGAATCCCACATGGGGCTCCCGGTGCATGGAGCCTGCTTCTCCCTCTGCCTGTGTCTCTGCCTCTCTCTCTCTCTCTTTCTCTGTGACTATCATAAATAAATAAAAATTTAAAAAATAAATAAATAATAAAATAAAATAAAATAAAATAAAATAAAATAAAATAAAATAAAATAAATAAAATGGGTGCCCAGCCAGCTTGGTCAGTAGAGTGTTGACCCTTCACTGTTGGGTTATGAGTTCAAGCCTCACACTGGGGGTAGTTTCCTTAAAAAAAAGGAGGGAGGAGGGGCGCCTGGGTGGCTCAGTTGGCTGAGTGTTGGATTGTCAGTTTCAGCTTAGGTCATCATCTCAGGGTTGTGAGATCAAGCACTGCACAAGCTCTGTGCTCAGTGAGGAGTCTGTCTGGGATTCCCTCTCTCTTCCCCTCTGCCCCTCCCCTCAACTCACACACTCTCTCTCAAATAAATGAATAAAATTAAATTAAAAAGTTGGCATACACCAACGTGGAGGACAGACAATACTGGTTGAGACTCAGTTTCCCTCAGTATTTGTAACGGGCCTGTATCTATACCCTTCTTGGCTCCAAAAGTTTCTATTCCATTTCACATTTGTCTAAGGGCAATTTCTCTAAAGTAACAATCAAAGATCTAAAACAACCAAAAGGGCAGCCCAGGTAGCTCAGAGGTTTAGTGCCACCATCAGCACAGGGCGTGATCCTGGAGACCTGGGATTGAGTACCACATCAGGCTCCCTGCATGGAGTCTGCTTCCTCTGCCTGCGTCTCTGCCTCTCTCTCTCTGTATCTCTCATAAATAAATAAAATCTTTAAAAAATAAAAAAAATAAAACACCCAAAAATGTGATTAGAATAAAATCTCAAATCAGTTGAGCATTTAACTCTAAACATCCCTTTTATTTTAAGCAAATAAGAAAGAATGGAGAGTCTCTTCAATTATCAAAATCGTTCACCTTTTCTCTGGTAGACATGAAACAAGCAAATATTTAAGAGCTACAGATATTTGTATCTAAAATGAGAGAAACATACACAAAAACACATCATTTCCTTTACTTACTTTTGTAATGGTTTTCAGGATGGCTAGACGATCTGCTGGGGGTGGCAAACCCACAAAGAGTGTTTTGTCTAGGCGTCCAGGGCGCAGGATTGCAGGGTCAATGATATCTGGAGAAGAAGGGAGGGTCAAGTCTTAAATAAATAACATGGAATCTTTTAAAAAAATATAATTAACGTGAGAAGTGGGAAAAGTACTTTCTTCTAAAAGAAAAAAAACTGATAAATTAGACTTTATTAAAATTGAATACTCGTCATCAAAGTATAACCCTAAGAAAAGTCCACTCCACCCTCCTGCCCAAACCCACTAGCCACCAGGATTCTCCACCTCAGACAAGGACCACCACACACGAGCCTGGAATTCCAGCAGATTTCTCTCCCCTCTGACCTGGATACCTTCTCTTGTTACCCTGTTCTCAGCCAGGGCCAAATGCCACGTCCCCCTTGCTGGTCCTGTCTCTAAACTTCCCTTCTGGGACCCCTTGTGATGCCACCAGGGTTATCTTCCTAAAACACATCTGCCAACCCTCACCTCCTACTCCCAACTCAGAACAAAGCCCGCATCTCTCACCACACAGCAGGAAGGCCCTTAAGGACCTAATGGCTCCTGTCCTGGTTCCCTCTCTCTCTTCACATTCTCCCTAACTCCCACACTGGCCAGACCTCTTGCTATTCCCTAAACAAACCTAGAAGCCTCAAGCCCCTTTCTCTTTGCTCTCAGTGGTTCCTTTCGCTGAAATGCTTTCTTCCGCTATTACACCACACATTGGAATTCTCAAACAACCTCTGCTCCAGGAAGCCTTCTCTGCGTCTCCCAGAAGAAACTGTTGCCCTCCTTTGTGTTCACCAGACTCTTGGTACCAAGAACAAATAGCAAGCCCCAAACTCTGCCTGACGCTGAAGTTCGTTAGGAACATTCCTGATTCTTCTACAAAGAGCTCATTTTTTTAAAGAAAGACTTTATTTACTTATTTGAGAGAGAGCAGGAGCAGGGACAGAAGGGAGAAGCAAACTCCCTACTCAGCAGGAAGCCTGATGCAGGGCTCCATCCCAGGACCATGGGGTCATGACCTGAGTCAAAGGCAGACATGTCACCAAAGGAGCCACCCGGGCGCCCCAGGAGCCCATTTTTAAAGCCAAGTCATTTCTAACGGCCCCTCAACCATTAGCAGGAATATAAATGCTACAGCCACTCCAGAAGTCTGGCTGTTTCTTGAAATGCTAAACACAAGAGTGACCAGGTGGCTCGGCAATCCCACTCCCAAGTATCTACCCACAGCAAATTATAATAGGTGTCCACACAAGAATTTGAACACGATGTTCACAGCAGCATTATCACAAGTCCCAAGTGGAAACAATCTAAATGTCCACCCACTGGTGAATGAATAAAAAGTTGTATCTCCACATAGGGGACCACTATCTGGCAATGGGAATGAAGTACTGACAGACACTGCAACAAGGATGAGCTTTGAGAACGTGACACTGAGCAAAGGAAGGCCAATGCCACAGCCCCATTATGTAAGCTGTCCAGGGGAGGGAAGCCTGCAGAAACAGAAGCACTGGAGAGGGGAAGGATGGGGAGTAGGGGCCAACAGTCAGATTTCTGTTTAGGGTGATGGAAATGTCCTAAAATCAGATTGGGGATAGCTGTACAAGTCTGTAAATATACTCAAAACCACTGAATCTTGTACCTAGAATGGGTAGAGTTTATGGTATATTACCTCTCCATACAGCTGATTTTCTTAGAAATCGGATCCATTCTCAGACTAATGAGACCATCAATAATATGTCAAGTGAAAATTACTACAAGATTGAATAGTCTTCTTCCAATTCACTGAACACATACTGAGTCCTCTTAAGTGCCAGGTTCCTATAAATCAGAGGTGATGCCAGGGCCTATGTCTTCTTTCAAGGGAAGTACTTTATGCCAGAGCACAAGAAACACAGGTTTGACCACAGCCCCAGTCACTGCAAAATCGCCTTCCTAGGGCATTCAAGTGTGATCCAAGGCCGTTCAGGCCAGATGGCTAAGGGAACACAGCACTCTAGCTGGAACTTTATGTGGCTGAACAGCTTACTAGCACAACGTACACCTCTTCCTGAGAAGCCAGTCACCCTGTCACCTGACAATCACCAGGGCCTTACAACAGACAGGGACTCTCAACAAGAAGCTTTCTCTCAATATAAAACTGCAGACCCAGTTCTCATCCAGAAATTTATCCATTATCATGTACTTATCTCTTCAACTGAGCTGTATACGGGGGCAGGGGGTGGGGAAGAAACTGAACAGTGTTGCTCTTATAGGAAAGACACCTGCTGAGCAGAATGAGTAAGCTGGGGTGGCTGTTTAGGTTTCACAGGCAGGCATGTCAGGCAGGAATGTTTTTAACCAGCCAGACAGGGGATGTAAGTGGGAACAGACAGCTCCTCAGAGCTGGGACTAGAAGAAGGGAACATAGAGACGGGTGTGGGATGGAGACCAAAGCTGGGGCATCCGTGGTCTCTGTGCAAGGCGCTCACCTCCTGGGGCCAAGCAGAGGAAGCAGTTTGTTTCCAGGACAGGGTGTGGACTGTGGTAGACCACACAACACAAGACCGCTGTCACAGGTCTTTAGAGCAACATAGGGTGGAATGGTACAGAGCAATTCTTTCACTTCCTAAAAACCAGTATGTCAAAACTTAGGGGAAAAAATTAAGATAGAAATGGAAAATAGGAGGGCAGCCTGGATGGCTCAGTGGTTTAGCATCGCCTTCAGTCCAGGTCGTGATCCTGGAGACCCGGGATCAAGTCCCATGTCAGGCTTCCTGCATGAAGCCTGCTTCTCCCTCTGCCTGTGTCTCTGCCTCTCTCTCTCTGTGTCTCTCATGATTAAATAAATAAAAAATCTTAAAAAAAAAAAAGAAATGGAAAATAGGAGAAAAGAAATTTAAAAGACCAGTTCAAGAGGCTTAAGACTCACCAGGTGCCTAGCATAAACAAGCAGCAAATAAATAAGAAGTCACATAGGGGCCCTGGCTGGCTCAGTGGGTAGAACATACGGCTCTTCATCTCATGTTTGTGAGTTTCAGCCCCCACAAGGGGTACAGAAATCACTTAAAAATAAAATGTCTTTTAAATACAGTCACGTAGGAGTGCCTGGGAGGCTCAGTCAGTTATGTATCTGCCTTTGTCTCATGTCATGATCTCAGAGTCCTGGAACCGAGCCCCGCATCAGGGTTCCTGCTCCCTGGGGCGTCTGCTTCTCCCTCTGCCTCTCCCCACCACTTGAGCTCTCTCAAATAAATAAAATCATTTAAAAAAAAAAAAAAGCTACATAAAAAGAATCAGGATGACATAAAACTTTTAAGAGAAAACAAAGCAAGGCTTACAGATTATGAAAAAAAATTTCAACTCAAAATTCTGTACTCCCAGGCTACCAATCAGTAATGAGTGTGGAACAGAGATACCCTCAAATATACAAAGACTCAGAAAGCCCAGACTGGAACCAGGCAGAGAACGCTCTGGAAACAAGAACAAAATAAACCATGGACATAAATAATACCGACCACTGTCTGGCATATCTGATGAAGAACAGAAACAAAACAAGGAAGAGAAAAAAACCCAAGAGGTCCTACATCTAAGAATGAAAAAGTCACATGAAAACACAACCCTGGGGCAGCCCGGGTGGCTCAGTGGTTTAGCGCCACCTTTGGCCTTGGGCCTGACCCTGGAGACCTGGGATCAAGTCCCACATCAGGCTCGGAGCCTGCTTGGAGCATGCATGGAGCCTGCTTCTCCCTCTGCCTGCGTCTCTGCCTCTGCCTCTCTCTCTCTCTCTCTCATGAATAAATAAAATCTTAAAAAAGAAAAAAGAAAACAAACTCTGATTGCAGTGAAACTTCTGGGCCCAGGAGAGAAATAGGTACACAGTCCTGGTAATGTAAGCACTGGTGATGCAACCAAGAATTGAGAAGAAATGGTATTATCACATGGGAATGACGGGGTGGCGGTAACAACAACGGCATGTGGAGAAGCGGTGAACGTAAGAGAAATTGTGTGCCTTAGAAAGAAGTAACAGGCAGCACATGAAACTCTTAAGAAACAGCAATATAAGCATACTATTTAAAAATATGGAGAAAATACAGAAGAAACAGCTCAAGGATTTTACCAGTGGCTGCCTCTGGGCAGGGACGGGAGGGTGATTTTCACTGTCATTTGAATTTTTAACAGCTGCCTCCCCACCTGAGTCTCCCTTTTCATGCTGGGGGCAGCATCAGAGAAAGCCCAGCAGAGAGCTGACACTTCCTCCACTGCTCTCACTGGGTCCCTGGGGGTCACAGGGAAGAGTACACGGTACCTCCACCCCTGGCCGACAGGGGGCTAATGGAGGCCCAGTGGGAACAAGTCATCTCCCCACCTGGGGGTCTGAATGGAGGCAGAGCACAGAGCCTGGGCTCTGTGAGGTGGCTTCCCTTTCCCCTGTAGTCGGAGAAAACGTAAGTAACATAACACTCAGTGCTACGTTACACTCAAAATTGTCCAGCCTACAACTGAAAATTACTTGTTGCAACTAGAACCTGATAATTCTCAACTTTAATGAGAAAAGAAACAGGGAAGTAGAGCACTGAGGTGACCCAGGTGTTGGAACTACCTGATGGGTCTTACTGCGGCCACAATAAAAGCACTTACAAGAGCAATGATGAACAGGCTTGAGACAAATGAAAAGAAAATGAAGTCTCAGCAAAGAAAGAGAAGATGTAAAGAAGTGGACAATTTTAAACTGCAAAACTGGGATCCCTGGGTGGTTCGGCGGTTTAGTGCCTGCCTTTGCCCCAGGGCGCGATCCTAGAGAACCGGGATAGAGTCCCGCATTGGGCTCCGGGAGTGGAGCCTGCTTCTCCCTCCTCCTGTGTCTCTGCCTCTCTCTATGTCTATCGTAAATAAATAAATCTTAAAAAAAAAAAATAGATAAGTAAACTGCAAAACTTAACAAACAAAAGGAAAACCTCACTGGACAGGTTCAATGGAACCGTGGTTGAAGAGAAGAATCAGTAAACCTGGAGAACAACAGAAATGACCAAATCTGATCAACATAGAGAAAACAGAGGACAGAAAACAGCATCAACAGAGC